AAAGATTTCAAGAAAAACAAGTTCATACATAAGAGTAAAAATGTAAAGATATTCTCTTTCACTTAGATTATATCTGGCGATTCTGCTGACCACCAATATATTTATCTTATCTCTATATGCTATCTCTTTAATTTGTGCTTATACGTAAACCTTGGCGACCATTTTCCCGAACTAAACTCTATGAATATTAAATATTTTCAGCTTTCATGTAGTCAATACTTAATCATAATGTTTTATAACTTCTCCCATGATAAGTACTAGAATAGAAATATATATAGAAATAAGTACTAGAATAAAAATAGCGTTACTTAACGCTAACGCTAATAAATAATTGACAGTTATTATTAAAAAGTTTCGTTAAAATCCGGTCAGTGGTTTTTGTTTCTATAATGATTATACAGACAGACAAACATTTTACAGATTGCATTTTTGGCATCTAGATCACCTAAATAACTATCAGGTTATCTTGGATATACTACATATTTTTACATACAAAATTGACCTCTCTACAGATTTATTATTAGTAGTAGTAGATTACAAATCTGTGACCTATTCCATTTATTTCCATTTGTACAGATAAAATTCATTCAAATAGACTATTGTAGCATAACGTCACACTTTTTGTCCCCGAAGGGGTAGGCAGAGATGCACATTGCGGCACTTAATGACACTGTACAATATAACATCCATTTTTCACTATTTATGCCATGAGTCTCATGTAATAGGGGGTGAGCCTATTGCCATATACCGGGCACAATTACAAACCCCGTGCTACTACTGAGACTTTTTTTAAAAAACTTAGTAATATTTTGCCCGACCAAGACCCCTTGCCCAGCATTCGCACTTGCGACCACTCAGCCAACGTGGCAATCAGTCAACTAACTAATATAAAGATTTCATAATTTCAGAACTTATTACGCTTCAAAAATAAACAGAAAAACGTAAATATTTGAGACGTAACAACAAACAATTACTACCTACAAAAGTGAACTTTAAAACCGTTCATCTCCTTAATAACAAATTCAATGGACTAAGTTTAAAATTCCATTTAGGAAAGCGATTGGTAGTGCAATTGTGTGGTACAATGTGTTATTAGCCATTAGCAAGAAGCTCGCGTGCTAGCCTTGGGCGAACAACGAAACGTTGCCTTCCTACACTTACAGTTACAATATAACTATATGAGTTGGTATAAGAGGGTTTTATGAAGTTAAAGAGATACAATAAAATAATACAAACTGTAATCATAACATAACATCATGCCTTTTATCCCCAAAGGTGTAGGCAGAGGTGCACATTACGGCACTTAATGCCACTGTATACCATGTAACACCCACTTTTCACTATTTTATGTTATGAGTCCCATGTAATAGGGGGTAGGGGTAGCCTATTGCCATATATCGGGCACAATTTCGGATTCCGTGCTACCACTGAAAACTTTAAAAACCCAGTAATATTTTGCCCGACCCGGGAATGGAACCCGAGAATTGCGACCATTCGGCCAACGAGGCAGTCAGTTAGACTGTAATCATCTCTTGATTTATGTGCCATACTAATTTTGCACATTTTACAAGTGTAAGTATAAAAAAGCATTTAAAAATATAACTAGCAGTACCGGTAGAAATCCAAGCTACCGGTGGTCAAGGCTCCAGAGAGAGGAATTTCCGGACAATGCGCGCCGTGTCCAGAAGCACTGCTTTCTGCATCATGCCCTTGACCCAACCATCTAATTTAGTCAGGTGGTCGAGGGTTTTAGCTATGAAGCCATTGGCAGATTATTATTATGACTGCGTTGTTGGTTGGGTGGCTGTATGTGTAACTGTGAGCAAAGAGTCTTGGATTCAATAGGAATGATGACAGGGTATGAAAATTAAAAATCTAATTAGTCCGTCAGTTAGGTAATGAAAAATATTAGACACGTATTTTTTTTATTTTGTCGTATAAGAAAACCGTTTTTTTTATTTTGTCAATAGGTACTTAGATAAAACGAATCAAAGTTTAGAAGTGGGAGGTAGCTACGTCATTTTAGAGTATAAATCGTATTTAAAAGTGACATCATGCGATATAAATCAATAAATCTTCTACAATTCGTTTCCGTAAGAAAAAAAAAATACATGAGTAATGTTTTTTAATAATCTACCAGACGGACATTAAAATAAAAATTTGTCATCTATCCTATTACTGGCTCAGACAAAGTACCATCAGGTATAATTACAGTTTTTAAAAAATTCCTACAACTTGCAATTTGAAAATTCGAAATGAGCTCGATCATGATCCGCCATGTCATTGGTTGTGAAAATAATCTCCACCAATGATGGACGAGAATACGATCGAGTTCGAAAGTTCGAATTGTCTATTACAAAATAGCCTAGTTGAAATTGCCCTATTTTGCGTCTACGCATTAAGTGACTCTAGTGGCTTGTAATCCATAAACTTAATGCATCTTCCATCAGGTACGAATTGATATTTAAATAAAATAAAAATATACAAAATTTCTCGTCAATTTGTCTTATAAAGTTTACAACTTAAGATATTGATTTAACAGTATTGTCTGAACTTTCGAGACTGCACTTCGTTGGTTTTCCTTCAAATTCATAGTTCTGTTTGTCGTCTCCACTTGAACCCTAGAGTTCTAGCACAGACACAAGCACATCAAGCTAACCCAAATTATCCAACTTTCTTAATACAATCTCAACTTTATCACTTTGAAATAAAGTCGAAATTTGGTTGAAGAAATTCGGTAGTTTATGATACATTTTCAATTTTCGTGCATAGAAAAATATTTGTTTAAGTTACAAATCTGTATATTTGTTTGTTTGTGCACATTTCACTTTGTGTCTAATGGTTTTGATTGTTATTGACCTTTTAGTTGAATAGAGAGGGGCCTATGTATTAGTCTCCATTACTTTTTTTTAATTGGTAAACAAGCAGACGGAGCACCTGATGGTAAGCAATCGGCGTCGCCCATGAACACCTGGAACACCAGAGGCGTTATAAGTGTGTTACGGGCCTTCCGGGGATTAATTAGTCCTTACGTAATTTGTCTTTTTATAAAATGACCTAAGTCTTAGTCTTAAACAACTCTAATGAAAATTTTAAACTACTTTAATTTACCAGAATATGAAATGATGCCTGCAAATCCAAAGACTTCCTATAAGACCACACTATCTCCCGTGGGGTACCATGGGAACGCTGCAGTAAAAAGTATCCTCACGTGAATATACTGAGAAAAGCTCTACTAGTTTCGAACCACAGAGTGGACAATGGTTCACTGAGTGAGATGCGCGACGTCGCCGCGACCGCGCTCGCTGCTCATGAGGAAGAACCCCTCTGTGGTTCGAAACTAGTAGAGCTTTTCTCAATATATTCACGTGAGTAACCCGCGATTTTAGTTAATTTAGTATGTTTCACGGTAGTTATTATAAAAAAAAGTATTCTCTATGTTATTCCAGACCATAATCTATCCCTGTTCCAAATTTCATCCCGATCCCTTCACACGTTTTGACGTGAAAGAGTAACAAGCACACACACATACATCCTCACTAACTTTCGCAATTATAATATATTTTTTTTATGGTAAACGAGCAGACGGATCACTTGATGGTAAGCAATCGGAGTCGCCCATGGACACCTGGAACACCACAGGCGTTACAAGTGCGTTACCAGCCTTTTGGGGATTAAGAGTTTAAGGATCGTTGGCTATTCAAGGATTGGGGAGATTGGGGGAAGGGGAGGGTAATTGGGCCTCCGGTAACCACACTCAAACGACGAAACACAACGCAAGCGTTGTTTCACGTCGGTTTTCTGTGAGGCCGTGGTATCACTCCGGTCGAGCCGGCCCATTCGTGCCGAAGCAAGGCTCTCCCACCTTAAAGCATGGCTCTCTCACACTTAGCATGTACCTAATAAGATGTTGTAAACTTTGTGATACATACTCGTTCAATGTATGTCACTAGATCATAATATAATGGGTGAAATACAAACCCAAACAATTCCATTCTTACAATCTTAGATACCGCAGCAATTGCTTTTTATTTACAAAGATAAAACTAAAAACAAATGTGGAGAATAAACGCGTATGACGCAACGTAGTATTGTAACAATTTCTCCCCATAATCGGTTCCAAGGACGGAACGTGCATGACGACTGTGGAGCAGGATTAGGTACAACACTAGCGTACAGTACCCGGCCGTAAATATTGCACATCGGGTTTTAAAAGAAGATATTTTAATATTATTCATATCCACATCTGGTTCCAGAAACAGATATTATGTTATGACGATAAGTGTCCATTACTTAGCAAAGGCCTTTTCTCTCACGGAGATGGTATAAGCATTGATCACCACGTTTGTTCAAAGCGGATAGGGGATTTCAAACATTTTGAGTACAGAATATTTCCTCGCGATGTTTTTCTTTCCATAATATATTTTGTCAGCGATGTCTGAAAAATCTTAGACTTTATATAACTTGGGAAAGTCACATTGGTATTCGCCAGGTTTCAAACCCGCACCCTCTTGTATGAGAAGCGGGCCGGGCACCCTTACTTCCAGACCACTACCATCATATTATATGACAGTAAGATCGTTTATTTGTACTAAACTTTTTTAGAATATTTATTCAGGAATAGTGCTAGACTTGTTTAGAATCACAATCATAAGCAGTGTACGCCGTAACTTTGCCGATTGTCTCTTTCCAAAGGTCGGTCGAACCTTCTTGTACGAACCGCTAATGGTATTCCTTGTCGGAATCTGTGTTTCCCGACAAATATAACTTGGTTATCATCAAGTCCCGAGTGAACAGTGTCTACTTGTGAGACATAAGAGGGTCCTATTTGGTTTGTAAATAAAACCCGAAAATACTTGAAAATACGTGTATACTTAAAAAAATTGTAAATTTAAGTACAGAGATGTTGTAATGACTCGATGTGATGAATAGAAAGAATATATGTTTACTATCGGGTAGATTCACAAAAACTATTTGGAAACGTCATTATGTTTCTGTTGAATTTAATGAGCCGCCACTTGTAGAAATACTTGATATTGCTATTCATTGTGCGTAGGCGCATGCAGCTGCGCCATGCTCCCCCCGTTGAAAGGATTCTCTTTCAACTTAGGATCGTCTTCTGGAATGGGAAGGGGGCACAAGCGAACCAAAGCTCGTCGAAGGCAGCTTGTAGGAGTTCTGACGTCCGCCACTCGTACCACGCCATCAGGTCCCGGATACAATTTTGTCACCCTTCCAAGTCTCCAACACAGGGGCGGCAGGTTTTCCTCTTTAATCAGAACTAAATCATCGACCTTAAGCTGAGGAGATTCCCTCATCCATTTTTGTCTTCTTTGTAGTTCATTGATGTACTCGTTTTGCCAACGTTGCCAAAAATGCTGTCGGAGTTGCTCTAATCTTTTATATCGCTTTAGCTTGTTGGGATCCGTCTCTTCTACTAGTGGAGATGGGAACGTGGTTAACGGTCTTCCGATGAGAAAGTGTCCCGGAGAAAGGGGAAGAAAGTCGTTGGGATTTGAGGACATTGGACATAAGGGCCGGCTGTTTAATATTGCCTCCACTTGTGCGAACAAAGTCTGCAATTCCTCAAAGGTGAGGTGTAAATTGCCTATAACACGTTTGACATGGTGTTTTGCGGATTTAATACCTGATTCCCAAATGCCGCCGAAATGAGGGGAGTAAGCAGGGATGAAATTAAATTGTATTCCTTCTAGTGCAGCAAAGTCGGAAAGTAAGTGGTTATATGTCTTTAGAAATGATCCTAGCTCCTTGGCCGCCGCGACAAAATTACGACCGTTGTCGGAGAATATTTCCACTGGCTTACCGCGTCGAGCGATGAAACGCTTCAATGTCATCAAAAAATCGTCCTTGGATAGACCGCCTACAGCCTCTAAATGTATACACTTGTAGCGCATGCAAATAAATAAGCACATGTAGCATTTCGTCAATCTTGCTCCTCGTCCTCTTCGGTTAACGATAAAGAACGGGCCAGCAAAATCTAGACCAACTGAAACAAAGGGAAAATCGACGGTAATGCGCTGTGCAGGGAGATTGCCCATTTTGGGCTGAAGGGTTTTCCCTTGGAAGCGTCTACATGTTACACAGTTGCGTACGCCCCGTTTCTACTCCTGCCCTTCGATCCGGAGCCCCGGCAACCCGTTAAGTCCTCCGCGGATCCGTATTGATATCAGCCCTATTGGGCCCTAGCCGTGGTGATCTGATGGCTCTTTGAGTCGGGCGGCGAGCTACCCATGCTCGCCATCCACAGACCCGGGTCTAGAGTGACATACCCTCGATGTTAACATATGTAGTAATATAGTTTGTATACAGATCGGACAGTACACAATACTGTATAGTATTGTGGAATGTAAATTCTGAACTGTAACTGTTTTAACCTTGGGTATAAACTTCCATTTTACTGATTCACTGCCATAATTCTTTGTTTTATACATCCTTCAGTCACCCACTTAAGAGTTCATAGAATACGTACGTAGATAAGAAAAAAAAGCATTAAAATTTTAAAAGATTTCAAGAAAAACAAGTTCATACATAAGAGTAAAAATGTAAAGATATTCTCTTTCACTTAGATTATATCTGGCGATTCTGCTGACCACCAATATATTTATCTTATCTCTATATGCTATCTCTTTAATTTGTGCTTATACGTAAACCTTGGCGACCATTTTCCCGAACTAAACTCTATGAATATTAAATATTTTCAGCTTTCATGTAGTCAATACTTAATCATAATGTTTTATAACTTCTCCCATGATAAGTACTAGAATAGAAATATATATAGAAATAAGTACTAGAATAAAAATAGCGTTACTTAACGCTAACGCTAATAAATAATTGACAGTTATTATTAAAAAGTTTCGTTAAAATCCGGTCAGTGGTTTTTGTTTCTATAATGATTATACAGACAGACAAACATTTTACAGATTGCATTTTTGGCATCTAGATCACCTAAATAACTATCAGGTTATCTTGGATATACTACATATTTTTACATACAAAATTGACCTCTCTACAGATTTATTATTAGTAGTAGTAGATTACAAATCTGTGACCTATTCCATTTATTTCCATTTGTACAGATAAAATTCATTCAAATAGACTATTGTAGCATAACGTCACACTTTTTGTCCCCGAAGGGGTAGGCAGAGATGCACATTGCGGCACTTAATGACACTGTACAATATAACATCCATTTTTCACTATTTATGCCATGAGTCTCATGTAATAGGGGGTGAGCCTATTGCCATATACCGGGCACAATTACAAACCCCGTGCTACTACTGAGACTTTTTTTAAAAAACTTAGTAATATTTTGCCCGACCAAGACCCCTTGCCCAGCATTCGCACTTGCGACCACTCAGCCAACGTGGCAATCAGTCAACTAACTAATATAAAGATTTCATAATTTCAGAACTTATTACGCTTCAAAAATAAACAGAAAAACGTAAATATTTGAGACGTAACAACAAACAATTACTACCTACAAAAGTGAACTTTAAAACCGTTCATCTCCTTAATAACAAATTCAATGGACTAAGTTTAAAATTCCATTTAGGAAAGCGATTGGTAGTGCAATTGTGTGGTACAATGTGTTATTAGCCATTAGCAAGAAGCTCGCGTGCTAGCCTTGGGCGAACAACGAAACGTTGCCTTCCTACACTTACAGTTACAATATAACTATATGAGTTGGTATAAGAGGGTTTTATGAAGTTAAAGAGATACAATAAAATAATACAAACTGTAATCATAACATAACATCATGCCTTTTATCCCCAAAGGTGTAGGCAGAGGTGCACATTACGGCACTTAATGCCACTGTATACCATGTAACACCCACTTTTCACTATTTTATGTTATGAGTCCCATGTAATAGGGGGTAGGGGTAGCCTATTGCCATATATCGGGCACAATTTCGGATTCCGTGCTACCACTGAAAACTTTAAAAACCCAGTAATATTTTGCCCGACCCGGGAATGGAACCCGAGAATTGCGACCATTCGGCCAACGAGGCAGTCAGTTAGACTGTAATCATCTCTTGATTTATGTGCCATACTAATTTTGCACATTTTACAAGTGTAAGTATAAAAAAGCATTTAAAAATATAACTAGCAGTACCGGTAGAAATCCAAGCTACCGGTGGTCAAGGCTCCAGAGAGAGGAATTTCCGGACAATGCGCGCCGTGTCCAGAAGCACTGCTTTCTGCATCATGCCCTTGACCCAACCATCTAATTTAGTCAGGTGGTCGAGGGTTTTAGCTATGAAGCCATTGGCAGATTATTATTATGACTGCGTTGTTGGTTGGGTGGCTGTATGTGTAACTGTGAGCAAAGAGTCTTGGATTCAATAGGAATGATGACAGGGTATGAAAATTAAAAATCTAATTAGTCCGTCAGTTAGGTAATGAAAAATATTAGACACGTATTTTTTTTATTTTGTCGTATAAGAAAACCGTTTTTTTTATTTTGTCAATAGGTACTTAGATAAAACGAATCAAAGTTTAGAAGTGGGAGGTAGCTACGTCATTTTAGAGTATAAATCGTATTTAAAAGTGACATCATGCGATATAAATCAATAAATCTTCTACAATTCGTTTCCGTAAGAAAAAAAAAATACATGAGTAATGTTTTTTAATAATCTACCAGACGGACATTAAAATAAAAATTTGTCATCTATCCTATTACTGGCTCAGACAAAGTACCATCAGGTATAATTACAGTTTTTAAAAAATTCCTACAACTTGCAATTTGAAAATTCGAAATGAGCTCGATCATGATCCGCCATGTCATTGGTTGTGAAAATAATCTCCACCAATGATGGACGAGAATACGATCGAGTTCGAAAGTTCGAATTGTCTATTACAAAATAGCCTAGTTGAAATTGCCCTATTTTGCGTCTACGCATTAAGTGACTCTAGTGGCTTGTAATCCATAAACTTAATGCATCTTCCATCAGGTACGAATTGATATTTAAATAAAATAAAAATATACAAAATTTCTCGTCAATTTGTCTTATAAAGTTTACAACTTAAGATATTGATTTAACAGTATTGTCTGAACTTTCGAGACTGCACTTCGTTGGTTTTCCTTCAAATTCATAGTTCTGTTTGTCGTCTCCACTTGAACCCTAGAGTTCTAGCACAGACACAAGCACATCAAGCTAACCCAAATTATCCAACTTTCTTAATACAATCTCAACTTTATCACTTTGAAATAAAGTCGAAATTTGGTTGAAGAAATTCGGTAGTTTATGATACATTTTCAATTTTCGTGCATAGAAAAATATTTGTTTAAGTTACAAATCTGTATATTTGTTTGTTTGTGCACATTTCACTTTGTGTCTAATGGTTTTGATTGTTATTGACCTTTTAGTTGAATAGAGAGGGGCCTATGTATTAGTCTCCATTACTTTTTTTTAATTGGTAAACAAGCAGACGGAGCACCTGATGGTAAGCAATCGGCGTCGCCCATGAACACCTGGAACACCAGAGGCGTTATAAGTGTGTTACGGGCCTTCCGGGGATTAATTAGTCCTTACGTAATTTGTCTTTTTATAAAATGACCTAAGTCTTAGTCTTAAACAACTCTAATGAAAATTTTAAACTACTTTAATTTACCAGAATATGAAATGATGCCTGCAAATCCAAAGACTTCCTATAAGACCACACTATCTCCCGTGGGGTACCATGGGAACGCTGCAGTAAAAAGTATCCTCACGTGAATATACTGAGAAAAGCTCTACTAGTTTCGAACCACAGAGTGGACAATGGTTCACTGAGTGAGATGCGCGACGTCGCCGCGACCGCGCTCGCTGCTCATGAGGAAGAACCCCTCTGTGGTTCGAAACTAGTAGAGCTTTTCTCAATATATTCACGTGAGTAACCCGCGATTTTAGTTAATTTAGTATGTTTCACGGTAGTTATTATAAAAAAAAGTATTCTCTATGTTATTCCAGACCATAATCTATCCCTGTTCCAAATTTCATCCCGATCCCTTCACACGTTTTGACGTGAAAGAGTAACAAGCACACACACATACATCCTCACTAACTTTCGCAATTATAATATATTTTTTTTATGGTAAACGAGCAGACGGATCACTTGATGGTAAGCAATCGGAGTCGCCCATGGACACCTGGAACACCACAGGCGTTACAAGTGCGTTACCAGCCTTTTGGGGATTAAGAGTTTAAGGATCGTTGGCTATTCAAGGATTGGGGAGATTGGGGGAAGGGGAGGGTAATTGGGCCTCCGGTAACCACACTCAAACGACGAAACACAACGCAAGCGTTGTTTCACGTCGGTTTTCTGTGAGGCCGTGGTATCACTCCGGTCGAGCCGGCCCATTCGTGCCGAAGCAAGGCTCTCCCACCTTAAAGCATGGCTCTCTCACACTTAGCATGTACCTAATAAGATGTTGTAAACTTTGTGATACATACTCGTTCAATGTATGTCACTAGATCATAATATAATGGGTGAAATACAAACCCAAACAATTCCATTCTTACAATCTTAGATACCGCAGCAATTGCTTTTTATTTACAAAGATAAAACTAAAAACAAATGTGGAGAATAAACGCGTATGACGCAACGTAGTATTGTAACAATTTCTCCCCATAATCGGTTCCAAGGACGGAACGTGCATGACGACTGTGGAGCAGGATTAGGTACAACACTAGCGTACAGTACCCGGCCGTAAATATTGCACATCGGGTTTTAAAAGAAGATATTTTAATATTATTCATATCCACATCTGGTTCCAGAAACAGATATTATGTTATGACGATAAGTGTCCATTACTTAGCAAAGGCCTTTTCTCTCACGGAGATGGTATAAGCATTGATCACCACGTTTGTTCAAAGCGGATAGGGGATTTCAAACATTTTGAGTACAGAATATTTCCTCGCGATGTTTTTCTTTCCATAATATATTTTGTCAGCGATGTCTGAAAAATCTTAGACTTTATATAACTTGGGAAAGTCACATTGGTATTCGCCAGGTTTCAAACCCGCACCCTCTTGTATGAGAAGCGGGCCGGGCACCCTTACTTCCAGACCACTACCATCATATTATATGACAGTAAGATCGTT